CCTACTGTTAATCAATATTGTACTTCTACTCGACATTTATGCCGTAAAAGAATTTTAAAAAGGCAGTTTTGTTTGAAGAGTCTTTTATAATTTTTTGTCCCCAATGTCGCATATACTACAAACGAATAAAAGAAAATTTTAAATAAATGGAGTTTTCATGTTACAGTCAAAATTCAAATTGGAATTTTGTCTAGGCAAAATTCAAATTACAATTTTGACTAATATAATCTCAGTCAGAATATTCAAATTGAAATTCAGACTGGGCAAAATTAAAATTATCATTAAAATTATTTTTTTAAGAATACAAGCAAATTAACACAATAGGTATTTAAAGCAACAATGTCAACAGTAGCAATTTTAATAAAAACAAATTTATGTCGAACCCAATAAACAAAAGTAGAAGAATGTAAGTCATCTGATGTTTCCTTTGATATTCAAGCAAACATTTCTGTATTTCATCATAAACTATTTTAAATAACACATTTCTCACGAAAATTTTTATTTAATGAAGTAATATGTTCTTCAACTTTTTCGTAAAAAATCTTTTCATTATTATTATTTTTTCTATCATGGTTGATTCGACTCCACCATTTTATTATAGTTTAAGCGTGACTTTCTAAATATCTGCTTTGTTTCAGTAACTTTGCTTTAATAGAATTTTCTCGTTCTTCTCAGCCATTATGTTCTACTATAGTTATGTAGAATTTGTCATGTGAAACAATGTTTCCCCGTTCTGATCTACTTTTCATTTACAAATAGCTAACAACAAAGAAAGACACAAAATACAATTAAATAAGAGAAAATTTAGTATAAGCTACAGGTTGAGAGACTTCAGATTGTTGCTCTAAATATCTGTTGTTTTAATCTGTTTTTATTCTAAAAAAAAATAATTTTAGTGATAATTTTAATTTTGCCCAGTTTGAATTCAAATTTGTATTCTGTCTGGTCAAATTTTTAATTTGACTGTAACATATATGTAGCTGATGGGAAGAAAATTTTTCGAAAATGCGTGGCGACAGAAATACCGTTAGTGGAGATGGCACTGATCGTTAGGAATACACTATAGAGGTTAGTAATGAAGTAGAAAGGCGGTTCATCTTTACTTCAAACAATAAACATCACGTCAAAAAGGATCAATTGTTTTAAAAGAGCTGCGTGATAATAGTTTGCACGATTCATTTCAATTTTTTAAATCAATTATTAAATAACAATGACTTCATCATTACTCTGTTATCCTGATACTGCAATATCATCTTCTTCTGCTCTGATTACAATCCAGGCTTTGAGTAAAATTTCTCGTCTAAAACCAGCTCCATCCACATCTTCATCATCATCATCTTCTACTACTACTGCTGCACCTATTGCCACCGCATCTACTGATGCATTAGAAAATGATCTTCCTGTTTTTAATCAAATCGATACCTTGCGTATTTACCAAGATAAAAATATCGTTTTTTTTTGGAGACTGTACTATATGGAAGATCTATCGTGATCTATTACGGTTATTACATAAGGGTAAACTTATGAATGATGTTGAACTTAAAACAAGCCATACATATCATCGACCATATGTCAGTAAGTGTTAATCATTTCTAAAAGAACGATCGTAGTTTTGTTTCAGATTGCTATATTCAATGGAACATGTTGATTTTTAGATTCATGTGTGTTGAATGTGCAATTAAAGATACTCCTTCATTTTATTTTCTATAAATGTTAGTTGAGTTCAAACATTTTTAAAAAATTTTTAAAAAGATGAAGTTCAAATTGAAACAAGTGGTATTTCCGGAATGTACAATCAGATTGATTGTCGTCGTTTTGTTTGTGAAACTTCAACGACCGTAGTGTATTTTATTCATATGGGAACTATTCTCAATATAAATTCTCCATTAAATATTGAATGGTTGCAGAAAATCACGCAGGGCAATCCCATTGATGTTCTAGTGGTATCGTGCGCTTATCCAGATTTATCCTTGTACGTATTGTATTGTTTGATTTTCAGCTTGATAAAAGTTTTTAGTGCCTTTTTAATAGTCATCGATTAGAGATAATGAATTGGAATTTTCAAACCACTCTACAAAGATTCGAATCAGAATTGCCTATTGTTTTAACAAAATTAAAGTTTGGTTTTTCTCGTCGTGAGAACCGTCAACCAATTCTGATATGGATATCACCTATTCCACATACGATTTCGAATGACATACAAAATCGTCAATTCGTTGAACTTACTGTCATCTTTTTGAATATAACTAATCAGCTCGAATTCGTACATTTAACACGTATGCATCCATGGTGCGATAATTATAAGAGTTTGTTTGTCAAAGAAAAATGTTATTTTTCACCTATAGGTGAGTATATCATATCTGATTATTTTTCTTCAAAAGAATCTTATCTGATAATTGTGGGATGTTTAGGAATTCGTCATCTCACGAATCAAATAACTGAAATCGTTTCAAACAAACAACATCGCGAATCATATGTCGATCTTCTACAACCAATTAATGTACCCATTCCGATTTCTCAACCACCATTTCCAATCACCGACTTAACATTTCCTCATCCGACAGATTTGAAAATTAAACAGCGAAAAAAAGGTCGCAAACGTCATCGCAAGAAACGTCTCAATCCCGATGATAAACTAAAACCAACCTAAAAAAAATTGTTCTTTTTTTTGCTATTGTTTTGCGCATTAAACTTATTTTATGTTCTTATAATGATATATTGATCATTCAGCGATTCATTTCTAAAAGTATGACCAGCTAGTATAGAAAGAATAATTCACATTTGATAAAACTGCGATCTGATTCATTCTGAAAATAACGAATGTTTACTGGAAGAAATAGATGTTCGTGATTGTTTATTTCGTCTATATTCTGTGTTAAGTTAAGAGAATCATCTTTCAAATATTTCATATAGAGTATTAGAGATTTATAGAAAAAAAACGAAAAATCTTATTGCTGCAATATAGTACAGGGTGGTAAATAATATTATTCCAGGGGGGTAACAGTATGATCTCGAATCGGAGATATCATGAATTTTATACCAAATGAAAGCCCGTGAAAAATGGGGTTTAGT